AGGCCGCATATTTAGAATTTTGTTCAACTAAGACCACCACTGTAGATAAAGTTTTCAGGGTATTTCTCAGAACTCCTCCTGCTCACACAAAGCTTCTAGCAAATGTCTAAACAGTGACTGAAAGTGGCGCTCTCCATGATTACACTGTCCAGTTACTATATCGTACTCTACAATCAGTTAATCCTTGTCATTAACCGCTGCAGCGTAGAGGAGTGATTGGGGTCTCTCCTTGCCCACTCCCTCACCCTGTCCTCTAACATGTTACAGTGCTACGATGGTGTTTGGGAGTTTGTTGTGTTTTAGACATTGCATTTTGTGTGAGAATCTCAGCTCGGTCATGGTCAAAGAGCTCAATACAGACCCCGAGGTATTCACAAAAATATCAGGTCGCTCTGCTGACGTGGACCCAGGGAGACAATCGGAGCAAGACTGATATATGCTGTACATCAGTCGGCCTCTATATGAGATTTGGCTGAAGTCACCGCAAGTCAAGCTGTGTTGTCCCAAAGAGGATATTAGTTAAAGATAACGGGTTTTTTTCAACCCCTCCCTGATGCCTGAAGAAAGTATGTAAGCAAGCTCTGGAGATGATGTAGAGAGGACGGGATCACATAGGCTGTTTGAGTTTGGTCCATTAGTATCCGCATATAGACTATTTTTCACAAACCACAAGTTGAGTATATTTTTGTTTTTATTACATTTCTCTGACTCATTATGTACATCTCTTGTCTTAGCCACATTGGCTCCGATTATTCCAGATTTCTAATGACTGTGTTCATGCAGAATTGCATGATTCATTCATACATGATTTTAGACATTGTCTTATCTTTGACAACAAATTCTGGGTGTATGAAAATGAGGCCTGAACTCACAAAACTGACTCTGCATATATATGTGCATCCATCTTGGACTCATCTAGTCAGTCCACCCATCTCTCCTTCAATGTGGTTCTCCAGGAGGTTTATTTTTTCCCACTGGGTTTTCCTTGATGGAGGGCCAACATGGGATAATCCTGGTATGTTGATTCCTATGAGCTGAATTTTCTTGACCAATGGCTATTTGCAATGTGTGGTGATTGTTCAATTTGCTATTGGTAAAGTCCTATGACGACTGTACTGCACTGTATTTTTCCCACTGTGGGGTAAGTTAAAATACCAAAAGAATTTATATATATTTTTAATGAAAAGCGCAGTCGCTTTATTTTTATCAAATGAATCAATTTTCTTTTCACCTGGGCAATTATTAAGTGAACTATAGTCCAACACGTGTAGGAGGAAAGAGATAAAGATGCTGTCTCAGTAATTATAGCGTGAGCTGCAGCTGAGGCCTGTGAGCATGTGTGGGCGTGTTTGTGTGGAGCTACAGCACAATATATAACTGCAATCTATAGTGTTACTTATTATTATCTGCCATTGATCGCAAGAATCTCTGAAATACTTGTATGAAGCAATGGAATATTTTCTGTGTTTTGAGATGATCTTTAGCGATCCATAAGTCTTAAGCAGAATACTTATAAATTCAGAACTTGCTTGACTATTAAGCGCACATGTAAACAACCCGGCTGATAGAGGCCAAGGGGGCTCTTTATCACAATAAGAATACAAACATTGCTTACACTTGAAAAAAGTGGCTGCTTATAGAGCGATAATTACAGTGGTTATTTTTTGAATAACACTTAAAATATTCACATCATAAATGTCCAAAATATTATGACAAAATTGCAATCAGCTAACTTCTCTGTATGGAGTGAGAGGGAAAAAAACAAAAACAAAAATTGTAAAGCACTTTGTGACTCTGGTCTGTGAAAGGCGCTAAATAAATAAAGATGACTTACTTACTCAGATTACCTACTTATATTGAAGATAAAAAGTACTGTAAAGCCAACCACAACCCATTCATACTTCATACAACCTCTTAAAGACCTTATGACGGGTTTGATATATTTAGAAATACAGTTTTAATACCATTTTATATTAGAAGAGAGCTACTAAAGGTTTCAAAATCAGTTATTGTTTTTTTTGTCTGATCCCCCCAAATCGAAATAACCCCATAGCAACGCCCTTAGAAACGAAAAAACTTCACAGCCCTTGGTGACGTCAGAACGGGTCCGTTTCAACGCTGTAAGTTGTTTACAATTTGGTATTCACTCTTTTTTCTCGGATATTCAAGATGACAAGGCCGTGTACAGCGAGTCTAAGAAGACTACTAGAATGTAACAGTTCGTTGTCACTGAGATAGTCCAGTGGTTGTGTTGATGGACTGTCAATAAGCGAAGTCGTAATCTCGTACTGCGCATGCGCGGCGCTTCCGGTCAAAGGTCAATCGGGATAAAAGCGCTATCTCCCAGTAATAACAAATGTACAATGTGCATCAAAAATGCTTGTTTCACAGACATCAAAACTAACAAATCATCATAAACATATCGAAGGTGAGTATCTGTACTTCCACATACAATTCAACAACATTTTTGACAAATATATTAGTTTTAATTTCCAATTGCAGGTGGCACAAGCTAAATTAAATGTCGATTATTTTTCGGGTGGTTGGTATAATTATTTCCACAAAATTACACACTATATATAGCCTAAATTGTAATATGGAAAAGTAGAAAGGCTCATCTCTTTTATACTACATGATTTGGCCTATGTTTGCTGCTGGCAATCTACATCTTGCCCAAGGGACTATGGTTGAAAACTAGCTTAAGAGCTAAAACTGTCACATTTCAAGTGATGTTGATCAATGTGCATTGTCCCTGTTCAAATAAACTAATACAATAAAATAAAAAAAAATACATGTTTTTGCTCAGCATTTTATGGGGGAGGAGGCATTACAGTGCATATATATGAAGGTTTCTGTCTGCTTTATATTTATTTGATTTGTCATGTAATTGTTTTCAAATTGACTTTGTTTTGACATATTCAATGCACAATATCAATACAAATATTTTTGTCCAGGAGAGATCACACAAGATGAGAATTTGTGCTGTTCTGAACTGTGGGAACAGCACATACCACCTGAACAAATGGAGAGAGAGGCACTGCACTGTGCATGAATGCAACTATGGAACTGCACGTTGCACATGCGACCCTCCATTTGAGTTGTTCCCATTCCCCACCGAACAAAAAGACCCCAAAACTCGGCAACAGTGGATCAAGTCTGTCAACCGAAAAGATGAAGTCACCGGAAAGAACTGGCAACCAAAGGCTGACAGCCGTATTTGTTCTGTGCATTTTATCGATAGTAAACCAACTGTCAAACATCCAGTGCCAACCCTCAACTTGGGCTATCTCCTCCGTAAGGAGACTAAGGGACGCTCCCTTCCTAAAAGACATGAACTACCAACTCAAAAGGCAAAAACACGACAAACTGACCCACACCCTGATGCAACAGACATGACTACGGCCACAGAACAAGAAGAAGAAGAACGTGTGTCACCAGTTACCATAGTACATGATGATCATAGTTACATTTATCAATGCAACTGCCAGGATAAATGTGCTTGTTATGGGTGCATGGAAAAACAACTGACTATAAATAAACTTAAACAGCGCATATGTGAGCTTGAAAGTCAACTAGAAGCTATGGACACAGAAAAGCCTCAATCACAAAAAAAAAGTGTGAACTTCAACTTGAAAAATGTACTAAAAACAGACAAACAAGTCCGTCGTTATTTGGGCCTACCAAACAAAAACACATTGGACTGTCTTGTCAAATACTTCAAACCCATGGCACGCAAAATGAAGTACTGGCAAGGATCATCTAAAGTGGTCTCATCAAAGCGTATGTTCAAAGGCACTCCTCTAAAAAGTGGACCAAAAAAGAAACTGACTACAAAAGATGAACTTGTCATTGTGCTCCTCAAGTTGAGACTCGCACTTGGAAATGACTTACTAGCTGATCTGTTTGGGATTTCATCATCTATGTGTTCTTGCATCATAAACACATGGCTGAAATTATTGTCATCAGAACTGAAGTGTATGGTATACTGGCCATCTAAAGAGGAAGTTAGAAATTCTCTGCCCATGTCTTTCCAGTTGCAAATGCCCAAAGTTAGGTGTATCCTGGATTGCACTGAGGTATTCATACAGCGCCCACGAAACCTGGAACTACAAGCATTGACCTGGTCTGATTACAAAAAACACAATACAATAAAATTTCTTGTTGGTATTGCTCCAAATGGACTTGTGACCTTTCTATCCAAGACATGGGGCGGTCGAGCCTCCGATGTGCACATCACAAAAAACTCTGGCTTTCTGGATTTAATAGACCCTACAGATGAGATAATGGCAGACCGAGGGTTTCCAATCCAAGAGGCTCTGCTTATGCGACAAGCCAAATTAGTAATACCACCTGGAGCCAGAGGAAGTGAACAAATGACAATAGAAAATGTGCGAAAAACTAAACAAGTTGCAAATCTGAGAATTCATGTTGAGCGGGCCATTAATCGCATTAAATGGTTCAAAATACTCAGTGGAACTCTTCCAATAAAGATAGTGCCACTTGCTGATGATATAGTCAGTGTGTGTGCAGCATTATCTAATTTACACAGGCCACTGGTTACATAAACTTACAGAAGTGCATTGAAATCATTTTATTTACAGTAACATGAACTTTACAGGATGCAGGCTATGTACTCAATTTGGTGTACATGGACACGGTGAAATGTATTTAACTACATACGTTTTTAGTTTTTCTTTTTCATTGAAGGTTGAAAAAAAAAAATCCCAATAAAACAAATTAAGACATTTATTCAGTTCATTTTTTGTGGCAATCTGGTCAGTCTTTAAAGGTATGTTTCTGGTATCCATTACAGTAGCACTTAATCTGTCCAGTCAGAATCATATTCCAGAGCAGTAGCATTTTGAAGGTCTCTATGCACAAGTTCTGGTGCAACATATGTCTCGAAGAAGAATTTTGCATTCTCAAGCACATCATTCCACTTTTTTTCATCAAAGGCAATTCTCTCCAGATGGACACTATGTCGCGTGTACACAAAGAAGTCACACCATAACCTGCTGGTTGCAGCCATCTGTGACTGAACCTGAGTGAAATAATTACAAGTGTCCTTAAGTCTGAAGTCACCACTGTCAGTCTTTTGCATATAGGGTAAACTGGTAACTAGGCTTGGCTTCTTTATACTGCTTGGACACTTTATTTCAACAAGTCCTTCGCCACAACATGTGCAACTCACAAGCGCATCTGGACTAGCGCCAATATATATAGTGTCCTTCACCACAAATAACCCACAATCTTTAACCTGTACAGTTTTGTGTTTTTCCTTTTTCAAAAGGGCAGTATATGCCCTTCTGGCTTCTCCCTCCATGTCCCTGCCATGTTGCAGTGAGGGAAGGTCACCAACTGATTTATAACCCATTACTCTTACAAGCAAGGATGCAACATTCTTAGACTTCTTTGTGGTATTGGATTTAAGAGTTTGCACTTTGGTATGTACATTGTGAATTATAGATCCCGTCAATCGACCTTTCCTTAAATTCATCCAATTTTCATTTAATGCTTGTCCTTGTGTAGCCTTCTCCAGTTCTTTAATTTTACTGTCAGTATAGCATGGCAAAGCTGCAAGAAATGATGGGACATCTGAATGCTGACGGGCCAGCTGCTGTAGTGACGAGGGGACTTCAGTGTTCACTCCTTCAGATGGAGTAATTTTCTCATTAAGATCACGACGTGGGCCCTCTGTCACGGACATGTTTGATGTTTCCATGCTTGTGAAGAGTACTGCTTGGGGACATGCACCTGCCAGTGCATCTCGAAGTTTCTGCAGAGTGGCCCCTGCAGCTTTCCTGGCATGTGGAGTGAAGAGCTGCCTTACTGTGGGATTCTCCACTTTTTCATCATCTGGAACAAAGAATGCATAAGATTTAAATTAGGGTAAACTGTACATCATCAATGCTATGAATACATGTCATTATTATCATATTTTTCATAATTAATTTAGTTCTACCCATCCTGAATTATGCAAATTGGAAATACAAAGCAAACAATATATTTTACAGTTTATTTTTTCTTCATCAACTATTGATTGACTTTTGTTTTTAAGGGGAAGCTATCTTTGTAATAGACCAGTTTCATCAAGGTGGGGATAGGCTTTAAAACATATTTTCACAGGCCAATCATAACTTTAAAATTAAATACACCATCCATAGTGTTTGTTGTGCATGTATATGAAGCATGTAAAATATTTTTTCAGAAAAAAAAAAATCATAATCACTATACATGTATATGAAAGATGAAAGCCTACATGTTACTTAGCTACTAACTAAAAATTTTAAAATGTGGTGAACCAAGCAAGTTCAAAATATATGCAGACAGCCCCTTTTTGTTTGTGACATTCTTACCATAAGAAATGAATTACCTGTGTTTTTGTAATGATGTTTTTTCCATTTCATCTCTTGTATTCTCTTTGGTTGAGCTATATCTTTAGTTGACCCATATTTGTTCCAAATGCATGGCAATGAAGTGCAGGCTTGATTGGTTATGCCTCTCTTCCATGCATCATCCACTTTAAACAAAAGTGCGGCAACATGATTGCAGGTTTGTCCCAATCTACAAAACATAAACAAATTAATATCATCCCCAGTATTTCCCTCCCCTGTCAATACACGGATGCAGATATTGAAAGTTGTTGAAAACATAGGCAGGACATCAATTTACGTAATTTCAGTTTCACATAAATATTAATGAAATACAACACAAAGAATAAACATACCCTGCAAAACATGTGCAGTAGGCACCTTCTATGCGTCCTGTGTCCTGTTCAATGATCACATAAACTTGATGTGGAATTTGTCGAATCTTCTCCGATGGAACACACTCCGCCTTCAAGAAACAGTACTTTGAACTTGGCACTCTGAAGTAAAACATTTCCCTAACCCATCCAGATTTGTAGTAGCTGAAAGCTTTTCCTTCTTTATAATCCGACATAAGTCGTCTCCCCAAGTCCCTGTCGCGGACATGTTGCAATATATATTCACCAATGTCATAGTACATCGTTGGCGGCCAGCAGTAAACTCCATCGATCTCGCCAACCCATTTCACTGAAGGAATTTTCAAGGGATCTGGAAGAGTTTCGCCGTCGTGTGTCTGCAAAATTGAATTGTAGTCCTCTTTGTTTTGCTCATACACCTGTTCTGCGTCTGGCAAACTGGAGTGTTCAATTCTTGAGCGGCGAACGCTCTTGCCACCAACTCCTCTTTTTTGCCGCTCAGCGATAGCCCGCGTTTCTTCAAAAATACCTTCAAATTAGCAACTGTCCATCGTCTAAAAACATCTAGACTCATCTCTGTATCCTCCATCTGAGCCATCTCACTCAGTTTAGTACGTTTTTCTGTCATACAAATAAATAACACATCATTCAAACTACAGTTGTCTGCGTCCTCTCGTCTTCAGCGCGGTCAAAACACACTTCCGGGTCAAATTTATCCCGATTGACCTCTGAACGATCCCACAATTCATTGCGCGAACTGAGATTACGATTTCGCTTATCCAGAGACTGGGGTTCAAATCCCACCTCGGACATTTTTTCACACTCAAAACGGCAATTCATGTGTAGTGAGCAATTGTCACCTGTAGAGGGCAGTATTGTGTTGGGCATCAGTGGAGAGAAGAGAGAAAAGGCAGTCCTGTGGCATAGATCCATGGTTTTCAATGCATGGGCGTAACCCGCTATGACGTCACACACAGGTTAGAGCATAGACAACTTAAATTCATGAAAAACACGTTCTTTTTATAAAATATAGGATTTTTTTTTCCGGAATCTCTTTCAAATTGACATTGTCATGCAATTTTGATATCCACTATTTTTTTTTTAAAAACCCGTCATAAGGTCTTTAATCTCAAAACATAAGAAATAGTGAACCATGCTGATAAACTCGTTTGAGGCAAATGGAGTTTAAAATAAAGATATATAATTGTACAGCTTGTATTATCAAACTACCCACATGCTACTGTTGCATGAAATGTAATCAGGGTCAAACCTGGGGACTCAGGACGACTGTGTTCCAGAAATGTGCCTCTAATTATTGCCACTGTATTATTCACATTTCTACTGTCTGATCAATTATGTAAAATCCATATTGTTAATGGCCTGAAAGCTGGGGCAGCACTCTGCTGTGTTCTCACTTTTCAATAGCTTAGTCCACTGTTTTTCAACCAGTGTGAGATGTTGTGTGGTATGCTTTTGGAAGCAATATTACCTAATTGGTCAAAAAGATATGAGGAGAAAATAATGTGAGAAAATTAGAAAGACCTTTTTGCACTCGATTTTGGCTTAGTTAATAAAAGCTACAGATTTGTTTTTTTTTGTATCAGTTTCAGGAGGTTGTGGGCATGCGATTAAGGAACACTGGCTTAGTCGAGGATGATGGAGGTTTATTTAGATTTAAGAAACATGGAAAATAGCAATAAAGTGTGTCTAAACAAATAGTCACTGATTATCTTAAGATTTTGGATGTCTACTTCATCGATTAGGTTTTATCGTAGCATCTGTGTATGATAAACATATAATCATAATCTGTCAATACCATTTATGTATGTATTAAGTTAGAAGTACATTTGAAGTTAAACGTCATTTGTAAGTCTACATCATATATTTCTCATTTCTCATAATCGCTTATTTTTGTCTGTGTTCGGATTGCCTTTTACTCCCTTTTTGAGCTCTATTTCCAGTGCACCAAAAGCCTCTTACTGCCAGACGACTAATAAGGAGAGGCTTCTGTCAGCCAATCCCCCTTAATGCTCCGGCGCACTGCATTATGGACAAAACAACCCAATAGACGGACAGGCACGTGCGCTGACCCAGGGCGCTCTTGAAAAGGCCACAGAAGGAAACATGCACAGGGGGCCCAGATTTCAAAGAAAATAAAAAAACAGGGGCCGTATCTTTCAGTTGAACTTGAGTGATGGGCGTAAACATACACAGCAGCAGGGACTGTGGGCGAGGAGCGGAGGGGATGCCCTGCACTTTCTGTCTACATCAAAATTACACAATGTTTAGCGTGTTCCACAGTAAACACAACAAATCATAATCGGAAACACATAAATTGAGGGAGATTATCCCCAGTGAGCAACTTTTCCTTTTAACACTAGAACTCCCAGAGCAAGGCAATTTATAATATTCATGACTTTTTCTGTTTTTTCATGTGGTTTTTGTCATTGTCTTATAATTTTGAAATTAAGTAGAGAAGTAGAGAAGAGAATTTGCTAGTAACCATAGCAACACATTGTCAACCGGCTACCAGTTAGAATTAACCTTTCAACAAAGGCTAATGCCTTTCTGTATTTCAAATTATATTCACCAGTTTTCACACTTTTTAAAAGTGAATGAAGGTGAATTTGAATAAAACTTATGGTAAACTCACTAAATTAGCAGAATTATATTGATTTGAATGGGAGCAGTTAAAATGACAGATGAAGGGACTGGTCCTAGTGTTAAAGATACGCATAATGGGCGCTATCTTGTTACTCACACGTAAACAAGTACTGTATGATCCTTCTTGTGATACTGGGGACACAGTACAGTACATGTAGACACACTGTATCAAAGTTTAATATGTTTTTACAGTGCATCAAAAGTGCAAATACAGTATGCCCTATACGCACAAAGTTTTTATTTTCAATCCTTTATGTTTCACTCCTCTTTCAAAAGTCTACTGAATAAAAAAACTATTGTATGTGGATCCCGACCGTTACTATCACTATTACAAAATATAGGATTTTTGGAATGTTGTGATGTCACATGAACAGAACCTATGATCGCCAAGCTCTAACTCAACTAATCAGAAGATGAATACAAACTTTGTCTTTGTCCATAGCAGGTTTGTTCATCCTAATTGAACAGAGAAGAGCAGGTTTTACATTCAGGCAGCATCAGACGATGAAAGGCCTTTGATCAGTGTTTACCCCTGCAGGTGGTGCGCAGCAGTAAATACACCTTTTACGTGTTTTTCATGGAAGAATCAATGATATAAAAGAGAAGGTCATTTCACAATTTCATCAAGGGTTTTAATGCAAATAAATGATAATATAATGAGTTCAATAATGTACTACTTATATAGCACTTTTCATGACACCCAAAAGCGCTTCATGGCTTCATGGCATTATTTGTTCCCTGCATACACGATGGGAGTAAACTACTATTGCAGCCACAGCTGCCCTGGGGCAGACTAACAGAAAAACCAGTGCATCCCATTGGCCCCTCGACCACTATCAATCATTCACACACACACAGGACTCATATGGGTGTCTTGCCAGTGCCAACAATTTGATGTTCCCAAAGGTCTCCCTTCACAGTGCTAACCAGGCCATGCCCTGCTTAGCTTCAGAGGTCTGATGAGATCAGTAGGTTGTGACTCAATGCATAGTCAATAGAAGATTCAGTGTAATAATAATTATTAGAGGTATCATTAAAGCTGCCTCTATAGCTTCTTTTTGAGTGCCAGGTATGCAGAAGAAGAGGCATCTAAGAATAGATTAAAAAGCACGGACATTACTATGGGACCAATGTGTGCAGAGAAGTTTATTTGTGCTTTTTCTGCCAACACACAATTATACACACGCTGCCTTTGATGTCCCTGCTGCATGGCTCCATTTTCAGAGCTTTCATATTTCCACATATGGTAATTCCTTTCTTGACACTGGGCACTTCAAAGGCCCCTCACAATTCCTCTAGCTCCCTGAGCCAAGACCGTTTTCTTTACATGTAGAGGTTCTTATGTCAGAAACTTCAAATTTGAATTAGAAAAAGGTTTGATATGATATGCTGTGGTAAAATGGTAACAACACACATCAATTAATGAATGAACACTATAAATACTAGCTGGAAAAAAAAAATCTGTATAGAAAAGTTTAGGTTTAGGCAAAGAAGTGCAAAAGCAGCAAGCCATAATTCTTTCTGCATTTATTTATTTACTATAAATAAATATTACAATCACTGACAAAGCATTGAAACAAAAATAAAAGACTAGTTATGAGTCATGCACTTTTAATTATAGATGAAAAGACCCACACAACTAACTTACTTGAATGTGGTGGAAAACCCGAAGAATGGGAGTCAAAAGTGAATGGGCCAACAAATATGCTTTATTTCCATTGCCATCTCATTGTATGCCCCCCTGCCATCTCATGTTTCTTTTTTAGAAATTGACCAATCTACTGCTCATGAGTGCACATGTGTAGCATTTAAGTTGCCCCCAGTTGACCCAGTGCCTGTCAGTCATATGGGATGAGGAGTCTCAAAACCCACAACAAGAGAAAATGGATGAGACACTTAAATCACTTTATATCTTAAAAATGTATTTTGCAGATCAATATTACGGTGTTTTCAGACTGTCACAAGTGTCCTCGTCGTGGCTATTAGGGCTAAATCTGAAAACAATGGGGTCTAAATCTGTGTATTTGGGTTATGGCCAATGTTCACTATCAACATCAGCTGCTAATCTCACTGGGGTGTCAGGCTGCTGCTGGCATTCACACACGCGCACATTGACTGTAAATCAATTGTGGTCTCGGGTCGCCCTCCCCCTACACAAGCTCCAACAAGAGCAGGAGATGGGTACACAAGCTGTATGGGCAAAACCGCTCAATTAGATGAGTCTTGACGCACCTTTACCCAATTTATGGTTCAAACATGGTCGCATGCTTCTAAATAAAGTGTCACAAAAATCATTGAAAGAGTTTCATCATACAACAATTTGCTGTTGTTTGAATAGTAATTTCACAGTTAATTTAGATCCCTATGGTCACCTAGGGTTATGAGCTTTGGGTAATAACAACAAGCAGTTGAAATGAGTGTCCTCCGCAGAGAGGATGGGCACTCTCTTAAAGCTAGGGTGAGGATCTCAGTCACACAGGAGGAGCTCGAAGTAGACTTCTGCCTTCTCTCGATGTGGAGAAGCAGCAGCTTCTCCACATCGAGAGAAGTCAGTTGAGATGGTGCGAGCATCTCTTTGGGATGCCTCCTGGACACCTCTCCCATAGACTGTATGTCCCACCGAGGACCCAGGACACACGAGAGGGAGGATGTCCCTCAGCTCAGATTCCCCCTGATAAACTGGAGGAGGTTTGGAGAAGGAAGTCTCTGCCCTCAAAGAAAATTGATGGATCAATATAGATTCCTGTTTTTAATAATCAAAATGTTATTAATATTAATTGTATTTGTTGACAGTCAATTACTCAACAAATTGTCACAGGATCGTTATTATTATAATTATCTTTTATTTTTACGTCTAAAGTTGTGTAATAATAATTATTGTTATTGGCATACCGATTGTAGCCCACGAGGTTACAATAACAGATGTTGACACGTGCAATTAAGTCCCAAGGCGTTATGACTGATAATATCCACCTTAAAAAAATACAAACAACAAAAAAGCGCGACTCGTCGGACAGTTGCAGCAGAGAATCACAATCTTGTCCTTCACTAGCTACACGCAAACAGACTGCGGTCCACTCACCGATACGAGGTCTGCTTTCTGAAGGCGAGCCCCCTCAGCTTCTCCTCCAGACTCTCCTCTCGCTTCATGTCGGGCAGGCTGCCGAGCGTGTCACTGCAGCCGGCCTCTTCAGACGCCGCGCCGGACTCCGAGTCTCCCCCATCGGCCCCCATGGACTCCAGGCGCCCGCTGTACGCGCCTGTGCCCGGGCTGCCGCACTGCTCCTTCGCCCGGGGGTCCATGCTGCTCTGTCCGCCTCACTCCTCTCGCCCTGGACCCCCCTCGGACCCCGCCGGCAGGAGAACGCAGATGCGGGCCGAGGTGAGAGCAAGGGGCATGGAGGAGGTTCGAATGGACACGGTCGTAGAGTTTCCAAAGCGGTCGTGCGTAATTTCTGACCATTGAGCGTGGTCCTGTGTGCGGCAGCCAGGTGCGACGCGCCTGGACAGCGCTCCGGTCTGAGCCTTGCGTCAAGTGTACGTGGGAACCCCGGAAGTGTAGAGATTATTCTTTCACAGTAAAAGCAAGAGACGTAGGGGTGAGCTATAATGTAATAATTTGCACTTTCGCGGCAACTACATTCAAGCATATCTTAGGTTATCATTAATAGATTATGTATTATCAACATCCTCATCATATATCTACCTTAATGTCGCTTTCACCCTTTTATTTTTACATTAGAGAAACGGACAATGTAGTTTGTTCCGGCCAACTTGACCTTAAGCGAGCCGGTCTGATGTCAGCATCCGCCAGGACTGGTTTCTGATCCGCACACAAACGATACCTGTTTAATAAGTAAATGTTTAAATCTATATTTATTCATCTTCCATGTCCATTTGGCCCGGGAAGATCCATTTGTGGCCTCAATGAATCCCCCTCCTTTTTTGCATCATCAATGGCAAAGTAGGCCAACCTCACTACTGCCCATATGCTCTGTTCATGGTGCATGTGTCTGGTTTGCTATTATACTATTACTATGAACATTTTCTTTATTTAACTGGGATAGACTAAAAGACCACAATATCTTTTGGACAATTACAGTTCCAGAATTTTGCATAATTCCCATCACAGCAAGAATGCATGAAGACTATATAAGCACCCATTATTTTCTTTAAAAAAAACCTTTCCTCTTTGTCATATATAATTAATCCCACATAGTCATAAAAACTAAATGCTGCATCCAAATGAGAAATGGCTCCAGGAGTATTTTATTGTGCTTACTCTAGCAGTCAGACATAAAGCATAGCTGCAGAAAGAAGGTCCTATTGTTGCTGTGAGACTGGACTGTGTTATTAGGTCTACCCAGGGACTGCATATTGTCTTGGGACTGTCAGAGCGATTTCCACTCCGCTGATCTATTTTAAGATTATTGTTCGGCCCGGGAAAACAGAAGTCTCTTTCTGCGTCTAAATGAATAAATGGTAATCACATTTTGTAGAAACGCTTTGATGCTTCAGCAGATTGAGCTCATATGCAGGCTGATATGACCATGTTTGGTACATGTCTCAATTGTATGCCTTGTATGTGAAGGACTTTGAGAAGCTGGTGTTGTAAATGTGCTATACAAATAACATTGACATTGAGGGTAAAATATATCACAGTACATCAGCTGCTGTTGAAATATCTAGACACTTCTTGCATCTTGTACACGTACATACTCTTTCACTACAGTAAAAATACAACACTATTTGTTCTGAAGTACACTCAGACTTAAATGAGGCTCATGGAGTCATTGTGCGTTTACTATGGAAAATATTTTATTTTAAAAGCAACTGTAAAAAAAAAAAGCTTTAGGTTTAGGCACAAGGAACAGCAGAAACAAAAAAAGAACAAAGAGGTTTTATGGAGATGCATTGGCGATTGTTTGCTCGTGATAATGCGAAGTTTAGCGTTATAGTCAGGCTGGCCCAACAGTACAAAAAGAATACAATAACTTTAAATATATTACACTTGAAATGAACAGTTAGGACACTGTAGAACTAAATAATAACAGGGGAATTCTCTGCGCAAAAATATTTACAAAACTGTGACAATTTTAAGTAATTTTCAATGTTTCTTGGAGCTGATTTATTGTAATCAAATTGAGATCAAATTGAGTTTTACTGACGCTGACACATCTTACACAACATAGATATAAAGGACACATTTGACCAGTAATTAAACAATAATCCTCCCTCTTGCATTCCTGTTTTCACCACGTCCTTATGACGAGCTCCCAAGCATCATGTTTAAAAATACATAATAGCATTACACAAAATATAGCATCGTAAAAAGATTGAACACATCGTACATTGTCGAACACGTATCAAAATGTGACACATAAATGGAATGAAATAAAATTCATATTTAAAATATTTATAAATATATAGATCCTCCGTGATTTAGCACGTCAGTGTCCCCTGTCCCCACATGCCATAGATTGATAAATACACACCTCATCAGGTGAGTCATTTGTTAGTGATTCTTTTCACATGAAAACCCATCTTGTGTAGGAAAGTATTCAGTGCAACTTCCTTCAGGAATGTAGGCAACCAGTGCCATTATCAATAGTGATGTTTGGCAACATACAGTGTCATTATTTAGTTAAGAGGGGATAAATAGAGTTCAGAAGGACCTCAGTATTCAGCAGTGATGTGAGTTTTTGGGACACTGGCCCCTGCTCTTGATGGACGAGGGCAAAGTCACAACAACGAGGAACGTTCACGATGTTTCGTTCACTGTTCGTTCCAACTCTATCACTTTGCTTCGGCCTCCACTTGTCCTGGGATCCAGACCCCTGAAGAAAAGATCATCACATGTCCTGTACTTTCATTTCAGGCTTTGATGCAAACCAAACACAGTTTAAATAGATATTTACCTGTGCCTGTCCAAAAGCCTTTGAGTATCATTTTTACTTTTCTGGAGAGGAGAATATGGTTTCTCAATTTTGCGCTCTAATGCCATTTTTTGTTGCTCTGAACGACGCCAGGCTGCCATAACAACAGCCGGTGTGTCCTCCCATTGGTCTGGATATTCCCCGCCCAGTCCTAGGAGCTGCGGCTGCTCGTCCTCAAAGGTTGACAAAATATTCCTTGACTTTACTAGAAAATAAAAGTAAAACAGCAGGGATAAGTCAGTGTGAGATCAAATAGGCCTTTCGTCTTTACTTTCGTCCCTCTGTTGCACATTCATTGTGGAAATGATAATCATGTCAAACATTCATCACAAACAATTCACTTAGTTTGGTTGTGTAGGCAGAATGGAAAAGGAAACTCAATCTGATTCACTTAGATCTAATTACTTATGTGCTTTGGAAATACAAGACGATATATCAAACTCTTTAAATAATTAGTCATTTGTCTTTACACAAACATCATTGAGTTGTAATGATCGCTGGAGGTTTCTCCATGAGTGCAAGAAACATATTATAAAAGAGTTATGTGACACAGTTAAGATCTCACACACAAGCAGGACTATTGTGAGCACTGTGCTCAGGTCCAACATACCTATAGATGTGTAGGAATCTTTGTCAGCCATCTGTTTGGAAGTGTGGTATGTATCCATGTGTGTAGAGGAGGGGGTCAAGCTGCTGGGGTAGAAACTCCCCAAGAACAAGGCAAAACACAGCACCACCACCTACCAAAAAGACCACAGTAAAGTTTACACAGAGCAGATTTTTGTATTTATATATAAAAATTATTGTTCAGAGTGTCAGATTTACCATTACGCACGAGGACGTCTGTGTACCGGCCATTCTACAGGACTTCGAGACCTTCCCAGCCACCAGTGCCTGCAACGCCTGCAGCTGCTGCAGCAGAGTCCTGCACAAAGGAACATGCTCTTAAAACAGAGACCTACACACTCTATAGTGCATACATGTGAATCCATAGCTGGTCAACAAACTAAATGCAACTGTCTAAGCGCCACAGAACATGCTTTCCTTGTCCGCTCAACCCTTTAGGCAACTGTCCATCCATCCATCCATTTTCTACCCTTTAATCCATTTCTGGGTCAGGGGGGTGACAGTCAGAGATGCCACCCAAGTCTCATAGCACCAGCCCCTCACTGACCCTCTGCAGGTGGTGAGTCCACAGGAGGACGGCTGCTCTGAGTGTGAGCATAGCCTTGATCGTTCAGTGGGGGCTTTGGGCAAAGTGGGGTTAAGTGTCTTGCCCAAGGACACAACGACAGCAGTCATCAGTGGGAGTCTGTGGAGAAGGTGCAGAGGTGGGAATTGAACCCACAACCTTCTGGCCTTAAGGCCAATGCTCTACGAACTGAGCTACTGTCGCCCCTTTAGGCAACAGATTTTCATGAATTTTATATGAAATGCAGATTCCTGAAACCCTGTACAGAAAGTGTCCTAGATTCCGGAGATCATGTGTTTTGGCTCTGAAAGGGTTAACACAAATTCAACTGGTTCATTTGAGCAGTTTATCCTAGAGACAAAAAAACAGCTGCGTTCCACTCAGCGTTACTTAACACATTACATTCAATGGTTGCACACACAACACACAGAAATCCTGTCCATCCATGTGTGAAAAGCAAACAGCATCTACGTGTAACAGCTAGAACATTTTACTTGGCAACACCTTTATGCAGAGAAAAACTGCAGCTGAACTTAGTCACTAATATAATAAATCAACTGTACCTTCTATTTACACGGAAGCTTTGAAAGCAAACAAGATTATGTCTTAAAATAAGAATAGACCTGAGGTGACGGCGAGAGATGTCCTGTAACGGTCAAAACAATGATCATTTGTCCGTGATTGAGCCGGTCATTTTTCCTTGAACTCAATCTACTGAAAATTTGAGATAGACTGGAAACAGTGAAATAAGTTGAGGAGCAGTTGAGATAAACTTTATATTTCCATCCTTGTCTAAGCAGTGGCAGAAGCAAATTATGCGATGTCTTACTTGTTGGTGCACTCGAGTGTCTCAACTTTCCTGCGCAGTTCACCATTTTCATTGGAGCAGTTCTCCACCCTGTGGACAAATATAGGAAGTACACTAAGTGTTTTTTCTTAGTCTTAACGCCACAACTACCAGCATATTCAAGAAAAATATAAAAATATATACTTTTTCTCCAAAGTATCCATGTACTCCTTTTTCTTCCTACGGCTCTCTTGGGCAGAAATCTGACAGAGACAATACAACATGACATTGTAAGATGGAATCCACAATATGTAATTTCATAATATTTCAAATATGTTTGTTGTACCTTATTCTTGATCTTTCTGCGGATCTTCTTAAGTGCTTTTTCCTCAGCTTTGGTCAGGGGCAGTTTAGTGGGAACAGGGTAACCTTCAGCCACAAGGGTACGACGTTCCTCCTCAGTCAAGATCAGAGGCCCTGAACCTTGCAATTTCTAAAAAGCATAAAGGCATGATTAAACCTCGATGGATGAAATATCCTTTTAATACAACAGAATGAGAAGGACTTACATGGGGCGCGGTAAGAAGAGGGGAGTTGGACAGGGAAGAATGTGCTCGTGGAGACACTTTGAGGCTGGCCTGTGATGAAGGGGCGCTGGTGGGAGAAGGGGGAGAGGATAGGCCTGTTGGAGCATGCACTGGACTTTGGCTCCCCTCAGAGTCACTGCCATGGGAACTGGGAGGGGTAGGGGGCATCTGAAGTGACTCCAGACCTACAAATTAAATAAATACTCATTAGATTCTTGGAGAAGATTGATTGATGAAAAATACAATCCACTCCCACTAGGCCCTAAAAGGCGTATATATATATATATATAAGTATGTGTATACAATCACTAATTGCCCAAATAATTGTCTAGTTAAACTGGTTTTATAATTAGATCAAAATTAGACAAACGGTTAAGACTACAGAACTATATCAACTAAAAAAAAAATCTAAAATCACCAGCAGGGGTCGTAGCAGCCCTGAGTGAAAAATACAAGTGGGGGGTTTGTGGAAAACTTACTTTTTGGAGAAAGATTCAGAAACTGGTCAACTTCATGTGGCTCCAGTTTTATCTGTGGGGTGATGCTCTCTTCTTTTATCTAAAAAAAAAAAACAAAGACAAACATAGCAGTTTAAACCAGGCATAAGACACGACCATGCCTACACTCTGAGCACAGACCTTGATGCATTTGGCGTGGCTGGGGGACTTGGGTGGCACAGGGGGGTTGTTGGCTGCAGCTGGGACAGTCACTTCAGAGGGGGACAGAGACAGAGTGGGCAACAGGGACGGAGTCTCACACAGCAGATCTATGGACTCCTCCTGCTCCATGGGCCACTCAGAATCACCATCTGACTCGCCTGAAAGCAAAGATTTATGTTCAAATTACAACTTCAGGTTTGTTCATGTTTATGTTGGTGCTAGAGTTAGAGATTATGTTTTATTTTAATTAGTACAGCTATTGTTCACTTAACTTATCTTGTGTCCTGTTATTATCCTCTTTCCTACTGTTCTACAACATCTGATGAAACACTGAAATTTCCCGACTGTGGGACGAATAAAGGATTTCTTAATTTTAATATTAATCTTTTTTGTACCTGTAGGTAATTTTGTCTTATAGTTTGAGTTTACAGTCACTTTTTAATTGCCCATTAAATAACTGCACTTTTTTAACGTGCATATTTCCTGCGGTTTAAACATTTCCTGTCTTTTTGCGCACACAGAGTGATATTATTTATGCCAAATGTGACATGCAAAATCCTCAATTGTGAGATCAAGTTTTATCCTATCTTATCCTGAACTCAAAAGTCAAGTTACAATGTGAAACTAATAATTAAACTCATTACAAGCAAAGTATGATATTATTTGTTGTAATGTGCATAATTATGGCTCACAATCACCAAAAATGATAATAAACAAAGACTTGATAGACATGTAATGAGTCTATATAAATTGGTTTCACATTTTGAAGTTGAATTACAGAAATAATAGGCAATCAGTAATGTAATCACCAGGGTTTGACTGTCAGCTAGAGACATAACTCAAAACGTTGTGGCTCTTAACAAAATGTTCAGAAAATCTCAGTAATGGTTCCATCACTAGTTTTCAGATGTATGTATTTTTAGCCATGATCACATCTTTAGATCAGCATTATCAGACAGAAAATGTTAAAAGAGAGGGCCAACAATCACTAGTCGAAGTTGTAGGTTTAACAAACAAAAGGTTTTATAATGAGATAAAGCATATTGTGGTCTGTTTGTTTCTTTTGGTCTGAAATTTTACTTAAACAAGGCAAGACTACACACAAAATGTAAATATGAAACAACATAAAAAGTTGGGTTCTCCAGAATAAAAATAAAAAAACATGGCACCAAAACAATAATAAATATGGTTATAATCAACCCAAAATTATACTTATAAAAAATTACTAATGAAAATGATAACAATGGTACAGTATGGGTAAAGTAAGCATGTGTCGAACCTGCTTCACTGCGGTGGTCTCCGGTCAGGTGTGAGAGAGGAGACTGGGGTCTGCTGTCGCCACACAGGGAGTAGCTGTGCTCCACCGTGATGTGAGGAGAAATGGGAGATGATGGCGACAGGTCCTCATCGTCTTCCTCCATCTCCTCCCTTCCTCCTCCACCTCTCACCCCGGACAAGAACGGGTCGCTGAGCAGCTGTCCCAGCAAAGCCTCATGGGAGAGATCATCCAGGAGCTCTGTGAAATGCTGCAAAGAAAAAAAAAAGATAAAACATTCGATTTTTTTGGTCCATTTTCAAACGCACATCTGAGTACTTTATAGTGGTCGTATAATTCCATTTGATTCAATTCAATTTAATGTTGTCTTTTTTGTAGCAGTTATCTCAGAGGACTTTACAAATGTGTCGATTTCCCAACACAGATCAGAGAATCAAACAGTTCAAACACAGGAAATGCAATGATAAAAAACACATAGAGCCATTAGTCCATAAGGGGCGGATGACCAATGTTCATAAATGTTATTAGATTTTCATAAATTTCCTTGAATTTCGAATGTCCAGGATCATCGCCACTGTCCTTAGACCCTCCTCCATCGGCAAGGAAAAAAAAACTGGAAAAAAATCCAAAACTAATTACAGTAGACTTTTTTTATTGCCACTTTGAAAGCCCACCCATACAGTCAGATCACTTATACGAATAAGAATCCTAATTTACATCAAATCTTGTGCTGGTCTGTCTGTAATCTCTTCTTTCATCCTTGTTCCAATTATTATTTTTTTTTATTCCTTCACATCAGATTTCCCTGTTGCATTTTATAATTTCATCAGTGCTGGCCTGTTATGTCTGAGGCGAGTGAAGAGACTAAACCTGATGTGTTGATAAAACGTGTTTGTTCTGCCTTGTGGTATTTCACTCATGTTAAAAAGCAAAACTGAGAGACTTGGGGCAAAATTTTAATCTAAAAAAGTAAAATGTTGTTTTCAAAAAGGTAAAGACAGCATGTTGTGGTCTGATTTGTTTACAGTCACTATTTGACACTTTGAGCTGAGAGCTGATTGGTAGAGTGAAGGCGGCACCCACTTCCTCACAGACAGGAGGCTTGTCAGGCTACTCTTTTTTTCTTTTTTACTTTTCTGTCTGATAAAGCTGGTCTAAAGATGTGACTGAGGCCAAAAATACATACACGTGAAAGCTAGATAATCTAGATACCAAACTGTTTTGAGAGCGGGAAACTAGTTAAATGGATTTCAAAGTTGATTAACTCAGCTTTAATTAAGATATATTTATTTTTGTAGAACTTTACAAAGAGTCAAACATGGGAATCTAAAAATGATCACCTCATGATTAGATCACAAAATATAGAGCCATTCTTAATATGCATTTACACATGATGAAAAACAACCATAATAGAATAATGTATATGTAGATTGTTGAGAGTTGGAATCAAAATGACAGACGTAGTGGAATAAGAAGTGGGTGAGCCCTGAACATGTGGTATCAATTACTGAACGTGACTTTGAGCATTTTTCACCGCACAGTGTTGTAAAATAACTTTGTCACCCCATGAGGGAGAGGCGTCTTCTGCGCAGGCCCTAAAAGCCGGTGTCTCAAACCCTTCCTTAGCAGGACCAGCTGTAATTATTTTCAAGAGGAAAACAAATGTTTACGCACTTTTCATTTCAACAATCAGCATAGTGCAACTGAATATCTCACGTGACCTAAATCTGAGCAGCCGAACCCAGTGGGAAATGAAACATTGGTTATACGTGACAATGATTGAATTACATTTGCTCTTCAGACCTCTTTGGAAGACTATTGGTGACTAAGTATGACTGATTGGTGAAAACAGAAGTGAGTTTACTTTGGTGACTGTTCTTAAAGCAGAAACGTTAAAAATTATAATGATTCTTTTTACTTTGCCATTTCATAATTTAGGATTTAACGAAATAAATACAGAATGAAATGCAAATGAGTGAAACGAGTCTCAAGGGTGAAACATAATTCTGCCCTATCCCTGGGCTACCAGAGGGAGAATTACCAGCTGCAAACACAGGGGGGTGATTGTAAAGAAAGTAAGCTATTTCTCAGAAATATTACCTGCGAAATAGCTTAGTTCAATAGCTTACATTATTTGTGGCCAATACTTGTTTTAAAAGGCAAAAAACTGCTCCGACCGTGATGTCATAGTGTTACAATGACATCATACAATAGGACTGCAGGTTTAGACAGAAGGGGCGGAGTTACATGTTTGTCCAAGTAGTTCCTGATATTAGTGTAGATGGATCTATAAAAGCAAGTTTTGTGTTTGATAGGGGAACAATGCTGTGATTTGGTTAAAACCTCAAATAGTAATATTTCATTGCTCCGCCTTTAAGTAATTCCGTAATTGATAGACAGTATAGATCCTTAACTGTCTAACTATTTATAAATACTAACGGTTTATTAATACTTGCTATTGAAGGAAATTTAACCACACTGGCATGCAAGTAACTCTTGGCATGATGCAAAAATCCATGCAACAGTTCAATGTCCATTCTCAGAGGCTGCTTCTCTATGACACTATCTGCAGGGTTGTATACAAGCTGTTAAAAGCCTATTACACCCCTATTTGTAACACTGATTCCTCCCAACATTTGATTTATTGGATAACATACTTTGGGATGTGGTAACTCTGCGTCAGTTTACCAAAGCAATATTCTGTGCAGTCCCATTTTCTATTTCTGTTTTTAATTCTCACTCAATGAAGAGACAAGAGGGGGTTGGTTATGGTCCTGTTTAACCCAAAAAAGGGAGAGGTCTTCCTGCTGGCGCCTGTACACTAAACCACAGTCAAGCGTCAGAGTGAGGCTGCATTCTGCCCCTATCATCAGTGCTGTGGGCTGGGAGACTGCAGAGGGAGAGAGGCTGGACCGGTCACTGGTCGGGTGTAACTCCTCTCACACAACAGAACGCTCTTTGTGTCCACAACCCAACAGAGAGGTGTTATTTAGGGCTAAATGTGTAACTTGACACTTCCCATCTGAGGCGCAGGAGTCACTGAGAGAAGATGGGAAATCAGGAAAACACTACGGAATTGGATCGAGAATAGAGTTTGAATCATGGCAACTATATGGCTGTAAAGTTGCAACTAATCGATTTTGTTATAGTTGTCATCCAATTTGGTAATTGATTAATGGTTTATTAACCTCTTCTAGACACACAGAGAAGAGGTTTTATGAGTCGGAGAATTCTATGATTACAGCAGAATGAAATGGAAATGTGTTTACAGTATTCTAATCAATGAAACAACCTAATGGAGATCACTATATGCATCGGTTTTATATAGAGCTTTTTTGGACACTCAAAGACGCTTTACATGTCATTATTCATTCACTCCATACACGGTGGTGATAAACTACTACTGTAGCCACAGCTGCCCTGGGGCACACTTATAGAAGCGAGGCAACCAGTATGTGCCATCGGCCCCTCCGACCACTATCAACCATTCACATACACGCCAGACTAATTCTAGGCAATAGGGCTAAAGTGTCTTGCCTAAGGACACAACAGCAGTTTGGCACTTTACAGCCGCAGCCACCCCACTGTGGCATCAGGTGTTCCCAGAGGTTAAGTGTCTTGCCAAGGAGACAACAACAGTAGACAGTGGGAGTCGATGGTGAAGGTCGGGCTCAAACCCACGACCCCTGGCTCAAAGGCCAATGCTCTACCAACTGAGCTATTGTCGCCCTAGAGCACATGTGTCAAAGTCAAGGCCCGCAGGCCAAATCCGGCCCGCGAATGAATTGGTCAATGGCCCGTTGCCTGCCATTGACGGACTATTAAGTCAATTGTGTTTTCCGCTATTTTCATGTTCCCAGATGTCTATTATATCTAATATGTTTGGGGATAAGCTTGAGAGCATATTGAATCGAGTCAGCAGGTGGCAGCAGCGCTCTCTGAATGGTTTGAAAACAGCTAGATGCACCTGTTGTGCCTCTTTTTTCTCAGCTTTTTAGTGATTTCAGTAAAACTTCCCTCCACTCAACTGGGGATCACAAGCTAGAAACAAAATTATTTTTGCTGATAGACAGTCTATTCTAGTAGACAGTCTATTCTTTCAGAATCTGGTTTCAGATTTCAGATAGTCATAGTACACAATATTCTGTGGGTCTTGAAAAATCTATAAAAATCATCAGAAACTGCTGGCAATATGGGAGTACCTGTTCTGAAATAGGCTGGCAGGCAATGAGTTAATAAACATTGAACCAGTCCGGCCCTCGGCTCGCAGCAAATTTATTTTTTTGGCCCTCTGATGTATTTGACTTTGACAGGCCTGCCCTAGAGCTTTGCTTTTTTGAAATGTACTAAAAATGGACCTTTTGGGATCCAAACTACTAATCTATTATATAATATAGGTTAATTACAGCCCTAATGCTGCAAAAACTGACTGTATTCTTTTTAATCCAAGACCGAGTTGACCATGACAAGGCATGATGCAATTCAAAAAAGTGTATTTGTATAGTTCTATCACATGGCAACTCAAAGTGCTAAAACTGGATGGTGGCCACAAGGTGGAAACCCTCTCACTCGCTGTCTCTTGACAATGGGCAGTGACAGTTGTCTATTCAGAGCTCGCCACGATGCTAAGGAGAGCAATTAACAGTATCAAGTCAACTATTTCTATTTCTGTACAGAATTGTTCATATATCATTAGCTGTCCTGTGTGCGTGTGTGTGCGTGCGTGTGCGTGTGTGTATGTGTGTCTACAATCTTCACTGTTTTTGAAAAATTAATTTTAAAAAAGCGTTTGATTTACTGATTAGAATCATGGTCTATCACTAAATGTCACTGAACACACACACACACACACACACACACACACACACACACACACTATGACACACACAATATTCCTCAGAGCTTAAACAGAAACTAAAGTTACAATGTACTTTCTTATCCATATCTCACAAGTGGCAGATAAGTATTTTCTGTCCACAGCTGGAATACCTCCGCTCTCTGTAGTTAGTCGGCGGTGTAACGAGTGACGAGGCCCCCAAAGTCCTGAACCAGCTGTATCTGAGCAAATTATTAGGGGCAAGAAAGCGGTGTCCCTGTTAAGTAATTGCTCTGTAAAATACGACAACCTGCTGAGATCTGAAGCTTGGAAAGGAAGAGGAGAAATGTGCCGTTTATGCAACATTTTAAACACACTTAAGGAAGCTGAAACACATGCTGCTGAATCAATAGGAGAAAAACTAGAGTGTGGTG